ATTTATGTTTTCTCTTAGCTTTTGCTCTAAATTGCTAAAATAGTTTTATACTTTTGAAAATCTGAGCTGAAATATTATATAATTTAAAAAGATGTCATGCTTTAATCTGGTATCTTTAAAAATTAGCTAATTAGAGGTATATCAAGTTCATTATGTAAATCATCACTAATAAAATGAAGAAATTCATTCCAAGTTTGAGGAATCATTTTAATTCAAAAATAAATTATCTTTTTTATTATTCCTCTATCCAAATATAAACAAAACTACAGAAATATCTTAAGTTAAATAAATATTAAGAGATACATTAAAATATATAAATATAATATAGTGAATCGTAAAATGATGAAGTTTAAATTTTAATGTCATAAATTATTTTTTGAGTGGATATAATATTTTTGATAATTAAATTATCACAATACAATTAATAATATAATATTGATAGCCTAGTTCTCAAGATTAAGAGACATAAATTAAACTTAAATTAATAATTCATTTCGAATCACTTCATATCAATCATTCTAATTTTACTATGATGTTAATAAGTCAAAATATAAATTATTTTCAAACTTAAATTTATTCTTAAGAATAATTACCAACATAAAATTATAAACCCATTCTTAATAAATAGTATGTAAAATCAAATTATATTAAAATTTTTAAAGATGCAATTGTATTTTAGTATATTAATATTCTAAAATCAAAAAAGACTATATATATTTACTAATATTTACTAATATGAAAAAATCTTAATTAAATATGGAATCATTTAAATACAATTTTATTATGTAAGGATTTCTATTAATAATATTAATAATTATATAATTATTTTGGATAAATGTAGAAATTATTAATTAATTATAATTATCTCAATATTAATTATAACTGTCTCTTGTCATTTATTTTAGAGTTTTATTAACAACTTAGGAAATTATTTTCAATACTGAAAAAGGTTCAATAGAAATACCTATTCAGATGATCTAATTTATATTATTATGAATGTCTTCAAATAAAAAGTATGAATTTTATATTATTATTGTATATATCTGAAATCCTAAAATTTCTAAGTTAATTAGTGATTATTATTATTTAATATTTTTTTTAATTAATTTAATTAATATTTCTTCTATTAAAATAATTAAATTAAAATATCAAAAATAGAAAATAATACACAAAGCATAAACGTTCATTGATAAATTTAAATCAGATTTAAAAAGAAAAATTTATAACAAATTATAAACTAAATTATTTATTTAATGATTATCTTTGCCAATTATTGTATTAAATAAAGATAATTAATTAGATAAATAAAATTAGAAGAATATGAATGTTTGTTAACTTCTTATTCTATTTTACTAATATTCAGGATTATAATGAGCTTTATTGCTAACACTTAATACTATGACGATAAATAATTAATCTAATATTTAAAAAATCACATCGAATTTTGATTCTAATCTTAAGGAGATTCTTCGAAATAATTAAAATCTATGAATAAGGCAGCTGCCAATAGAAGAGCCTTTTGTCTACTAGTAGATTTCTAAGGAAACATTAATCTAAAGTTGGTTGCATCCACATTACATAATGCATTGCAAAACCCAGCAGATTCTTTCCACAATTCCGAAACTTTCTTAAGTATATTGATCAATTTATACCTATCCTTCTGAATCAACTATATCAAATCTTGCTCTCTAGCATGCTTCACAAGGTAATTAAACTAAAAATGGCCATTGACAACAACTTCCTTTAACAGAATATATTAATTAATTATTCTCATCTCTTATTTCAACTCCCTTATCACAACACATAAATGGGTAGTATATAAAACCTATTTTACCTCCATTTTCTAATTAAACTTCCATCATAGGTCTGAAATTATATATTTTTATTACCTAGCTAGGCAAAGAAATGTACATTTGAATTCTCTGCTTAATCTAAATACTGTGTTCGTGTCTTATTTTTAATCATATTGTTTGACTTTCAAATCAAAGGCTCGACAAGCCCCTGGAAGACAATTCCTTTACCAACAGCTACTTTCCTCCTTACATTTAAAAATAGGAGCTTAATGCTTAAAATCAGGTTTATTTCCCATTGTATCAGATTAATAAACATAATAAACATTTTTTTTTTCACAGAATCCTAAAGATTCTAAATAGTCAGGACGTTATTTAATGTATACACTTTGACATCTCGACATTGCATCCAATCCTGAGTTAAAGGAAGTCTAGATTTCAAAAAATAATTACATCGATCTATCCAGGGTTTACATATTGTGGCTAAGGTGATTAGTTTGCAGGTTAATATTACATTTTGCAAATTTATTTTATTTATTATTAATTGAGATTATTAAGTTAAGAAATAACAACAATTTTATTTATAGAGAAAATTTGTGATATTTAAGTTGGATCAAAACATAAAAAGAATTTAATAAAGTTTACAAAATAAAAATACTTTATTTTGTAAATGATTAATTAAGATATACTAATATTAATTTGATAATTCTATTCTTTAGTGATTAAACAGCTTTTAGATTTACTTAATTTGATTTTTATTAAGTGATATTTAGAAACCTATTTTTTTTTATATTAATTAAAATAATCAAATTATGAAAGTTTATTATGTTAGACATGGACAATCTATGAATAATGTTATTAATGATCTTACAGATTAAGAATATGAAAATCTTCGTTAATTAGATCCATAAATCTCTGAATAAGGTATAAAATAAGTTAAATTATTGACTGATTATCTTAAATCAAGAAAAATTGAGTTTGAAGAAATTAGATGTTCACCTTAATAAAGAGCAATTTAAACAGCATAATTAATTAATGAAGTATATAAGGTTCCTGTTAAAATATAATAAAATTTACATGAAAAAGGTGGTAATTAACTTTAAAATAAAGGAATTCCTGGATTAACAAGAAAGTAAATATTTAGAATATTAATAGAGAGTTTTAAAATAAATATCCAGAGTTTGAAATAGATGAAATAATTCAAGATGCAGGATGGTATTTTTAAGATAAAAGAGAAACTGATGAAGAATGCAGATAAAGAGCAGAAAAAGTAATTCAAGATTTACATAATGAAAAAAAAAAATCTATATTAATAATTGGACATGGAAATTTTATGGATATGGTATTGGGTACTGTTTGTGGAAGAGCATAAAATTCAAAATATTTTTATTATCATTAAAATTGTGGAATTACATTACTTAAAAATGATGGTTATGGATTTGAAATTGATTTTTATAATGATTATTCCTTTCTCGAGATGCATTACCTTAAAACAGGGGAAGATTTAATTTTAAAAAGACTTGCAAATTATAAAGGAAAAATTTGAAAAATCTAAGAAAATGACATAATATTAAAAATTATTATCATTTAATATTTTAAACCTTAATTGTTTAAGTCAATAATATCCTTTATTAAATATATTTTTGTATTAAGTAATCAGAAATGAATTTTACAATATTTATATTATTAAAATATATAAATTACTGTTTCATTTTTTTCAACTACTTATTAACATAAAAATCTAAATTTTACATAATAAAACTTTAGAGATTATTTAAAACTGAATTAAAAATTAATAGCATCTTAATATAGTATAATTATTAATAAAAATTTATAGCTTATTTTAAGATTAACGATAATTTTTTGGAAGAGAAAATGGAACAATTATCAAAGTAAAGTTATTTATAACTCAAATTAATGCATGAGTATTTTTATTAATTCATAAATTGAATAGAATATCTAGCATAAACAATTTTCAATGTTTTTATTTATATAGATATTTTACAAAAATAGGTGATATGGTATCCATAAACTTTCCTTCGGCTAAACTTAACAAAAATGTTTATATTTGATGTTTTACATGTCCTGCTGTTGCATCCTTATTTCCCAATTATAATCTTATATTACTAAAATATATACAAAGCTGCTTTAACACATTGTTATGTTGAAACTGTAAGGAGATCAGTTTAATTTTTGACCATAGCTGTTTAAACAAACCCAGGTCTAAATGATAAAAAATCAACATTTTCAACTTCAATTTGTAAGGATCTTGTAAAATAATCATTAAATGCCTTTGTTTTAAAATAATTCTTACTTTTGTTGCACTATATACTTGATAATAAGGATAGGCAAATCTTCCTGTTAATGAAGAAAGATTGATAACACCAGACCTTTGCCTTTTCTTCATCATAGGTAGTAGATATTTTGTCATAAATACTACAGGTATGCAATTTATAATAATCTAATTTTATTGATCAATATCAATAGTCTTATGGAATTCCCCAACTGTTAATACTCCAACATTATTTATAAGAAGACCAATATCCAAATCTTTTATTTCTGAATATATATTTTGAAAGAAATTTTCTTTAAGACAATTTTGAAAATCAGCAATCACAAATTTATATTATGGTTTATCATTAATTTGTTTTAACTCTTTTATTAAATTTTCTGCTTTTTATCTATTTCTTGCAACAATACAAACATTAACACCTTATTTAGCGAATTCCTTGAAGTTTATAAGATTGATTACCTAGCAAAACCCTTTTCCTATGCCATCTGTACCACCAGTAACCAAAGCCCAACATCCCTTTCCATAGATTTACTACACATTAGAAATCCCAGAAACAATTAATTTACATTCCATAACTAATAAATATCCAAAGTATATCACAACTATCATCCCAATCCACTCTATGATTTCCATATTATTAAAATTAAATTATTAATATTAAATGAAATGGTTATTCTTTGATTCATAATTGAACTATAAATATTTTTTATTATTTAATCTTTCTTAATAAATAACTTTTCAAAAAGCTGTAATAATTACAATAAATAACAGATTGATTAGTTGAATATCTAAACTATTATCGATATTTACAGTTTTAAATTATAATTTTATAAACATTAAGAATTATGGATTAAAAATGAAGAAGTTTAAATTTCAAAATTCTATGAAAAATTATTATATTTTTGTTAATAATAATTATGTTATAATCATTTTTACTTAGTTTAGCATCTGGCATTGTGCTATTTATTGTTTACATGTATCATAGAGCAAATTTATCAGAAGGATCAGCTAATTATAGGTATTATAATGAAGCAGTGAAAGGAATGTCAAGATGGTTGGAATAGACTGTTGATTTAACTTAATCCCATTTTTAACCATGCAAGTATAGGAGTTTAACATAAATAGAAATTGTGGATATGAGATTGCATTAGTGCATGATAATTATTATTGTCAAAGAAGTGACCTTTTTAAATTGTTGCATCCTGAAGTAGTAATATAAGATCAAATGGTATTAAGAGATTATGGAGGTTAAGATTTGGCAAGAAAAATCATCTAACAATACATGTATGATGCTTTGCCAAACTTTTTATAGTCAAGACCTATTGAAATTGGATATCATTAAACCCCTCTTGAAACATCAATAGTATATCCATATGCTAAAAATTATTTTCGAACACATACTTTTGGAAAATAAGCAGGTTGTATTTTCTAAAAATATTTCCATGTTCCAGGTTAAGAAGAAATTGCATTAAAATCTAATCAATCAACACATTTTCATAATTATATTGATAATTTAAAATAAGAAAATAAAAGCACAGAATGTATCAAAGATGCTAGTTATGAGAAACCAACATTTAGAATGTGGTTGAAAGAAGAGTGTGAGAATTTCTTTGAAATTATTAACACAAAATAATACAAAGATAAATTAGAAAATGAAGGAATCTAATATATTTATAAAACAAATAGACATTTAGGCAATGGAATATTACTTTTAGATTATTAGAATGAAAAGATAATTAGATCATGGTATAAAGATAGTTTAGGTTGTGGAAGAAATATTACTTAAGTTATAATTTAAGAGTATCTTAAAAATCCTTATTTATTTAAAGGACATAAAATGGAATTTAGATCATATTTTTAGATTGCATCCACTAATCCACCTATCTTATATGGATATAAAAAAGCATTGATTAAATAATGTGCTTTAAAGTTTGATTTATTAGATTTTACTAAAGAGGCACATGTTTGTAATACAGCTGTAACAAAAACACATAAATAAACAATAGGATAAGAATAGGATGATGATCTATATATAGATTGGAATTTAGAAGAGTTGCAAGATATTTTGTTAGAGTAAGGTAAAATAAAGTCTCGTAATTGGTTAAATGAATACCTTTATCCATAAATAATGAGAAAAATAACTCATCTATTTTTTTCAGTTGATAAATATCTATTGAAAGATAGCAGAGTGGGGGAGTTTTTTGGAGTGGATTTTATACTTGATGATGATTTGAATCTATGGATATTTGAATGCAATAGAAATCCTAATTTTTTAGCAGTAACAGAAGGAAGAAAAGAGAAATTTGGAAAACTTATTCCTGATATGTTGGAAATTTAAATGTAATTAGTTAGAAGCAGATTTAAAAGAATTAGAGATTTCATGTATAATAAATTCATACCAGCTATAAAGACTAGATAGTTTTAATAATAGTAAGAAAAGTTAAAGGAAGAATTTTTATAATTAATGAAGGATAGATTTGAACCAGAATATTAAATATCAAAAAGTAACTTAGCTGAATTGGCATATATTGGAGATGGCTAATTTAATGGATATATTAAAAAAGAATGTTTAGAATCTAGTAGAGTATTAAAAAAATGAATATATTTAATCAAAATAAATTAAATTATTAAATGTTTGCTTAAAAATAGATTACTAACAAATTATTATTGGCCAAGCTTAGAGAAGTTGAAGAAAGAAATGATACTTAATCAGCTCCATCATTTATGAATTAAACTGTTACTATTAATAATCAGCATATAAGTGATTAAATTAAAAAGGCCAAACAAGAGGCATTAAGTTTACATACAAGTTGTAAATCTACCTAACATTCTCCAAAAACTTCATTAGATCTTTCGGAATTTATTAAGCAAACTAAAATGTAATAAATGACCCAATAAAAATTGTTGATGGATAAAAAGTTCTAAAGACTTACAATTTCAAAAGTACGTGATGATGTAAGTCATTTTTATGATTAAATACGATAACCTGCTACAACAAGTATGTCAATTTTCATAAATAGGGGAGTAACGCAGTTTTTAGCCCAGACGTTAAGGGACTACTTTCCATAAGAAATCAAGAAGTGGTTAATAAATTCATTTGATAGATATGAAAGAATATTAAAAATTAGAAGTTGGTTTGAATAAGGAAATATCCTCCTTACATACAGAAGATCCGGGAGGGAGAGTTTAGAGTATACAATTAAAAGATTGGTTTTAAAAATAATAATCTGGAGATTTGATACCCTTATTAACAGTTACAATGAATGAGTTAATTAAGTCGTTAAAAAGAGAATGTCTAGAAAGAGGAGAATTAGTTGAATAAATTTGGGATAAAGTAATTCAAATGGTAAATAAGATTAAATTTGATGCTGAAATATTACTTAAAAAAAATGATGTTTTAGTAATGGATGAATAGGCTAGAGTGTATTTTATATTTTAAGAAAAAATGTCAGATTTATAAACTTAAATTTAAGATGTCTAACTTAAATATTCTCAAGAAGTTATTCAACATAATGTTTGTAAATAAGAATATAAAGAATTAGAAACAAATTTCAAAAAAAATAGAGCATAATTAAATGACTTAAGGAAGATTGCATCTTTTTTATAAAAGAAATTAAAATAATCTCATTAAGAAATAGAAATACTCAATAGAAAATTATAAACAATTACTTAAAAACAATTAGAATCATAATAATAATTATAAAGAGATATTAATAGTAGTCATTAATAAGGTAATAGCTAAAAGATATTGATAAAATAAGAGAGTATGTTTTCATAAAGACAATCTTAAATTTTGTAACCTCCTTTATTAAATCAGGCACAATAATCTTAACCATAGAAGATTTTATAACATATAACTAATTCTAATTAAATTTAATCAGGAAGAAGAATGTCTTATTTAGGGAATTCTTAAGTTCAATAAACGTAATAAGAGAAATCAAGTTCATCTGAAGAAGATGATTTAATGGATGGATTATTGGATGATAAAAATATTATAGAAATGGACAACATGGTTATGAACATGGATAAAATAATTAAGGTAGCATGTGTAGAGACATAAGTTGAACCAGATATACTTAAATTATATTAAAAGACTTAAGAAATATAAACAAATATTGTAATGATGGCTAAAGATTTTAATTTAATAACAGATACTTAGACTAAAATTCAAAGTGTGTTAGAACAATATAAATAAAGAAGCTAAGTTGAAGAAGCTCTTAAGTTATGTGAAGATAAACCAAATAAAGCTTTTTCTGGTCGATAATTGAATTAAATAATAGAATCAAAATTTCTTAATAAAGATATACCATCTCCAGGAATGACTAAATTAAGTTAATTAAGATAAGATTCATTTAGATCTAAGAAAGCTGTAAATTAATCGAATGAATAAGTAACAAGTAATGATTAGAGTATGGATATCAATTCTGATCGATATTTAGACTTAGATAAAGTGAAAACTCTAGTGATTATGATGCAAAGTTTAGAAAATAAAAATAAGGAATTATAATATATAATTGAATAGATGAATGAAAGATGTAATTAACATATGCTAGAATTAGAAGATACAAGAAGTAGAGCAGTGTCTATTGGCACATTTAAATAAATAAAAGAACAATAATAATAATAATTATTATAATAAATGACATAAAAATAATTGGAAGGAGAATCATCTCCTGAATAATTTGCTAAATTTAATTCATCGTAAAAAATGATCAGAAGATAGAAAGATAACAAGAAATTAAATTAAGCAAAATTAATTTTCAAAGGTCCTTAATTAGGTCAAAAAGTTAATATAGTTTATGAATTTTAAAAAGTAAATGCAGGTCCATAATTAGTTGAAAAAATAAAACTAAAATAATTACCAAAAATTAAACATTTTATGCCTTTGAAATTATTATTAAAATAAATAACAGTAATATATTAGGATAGAATATAACAATAAAAAGATAATTAAGCATTTAAAGATTAAGATATGGCTTCATTTGTTTATAGTTATTTTTTATAATAATTTGGTATAAAAAAGATAGCAGAGTAGAAATTCTTAATACTTATAGTTTCAGTTAAACATTATAAATAATTAGTAAGAATAAACAACTTTGCAAAGTTTTTAGGATTATTTGATGATTGTGTTAATTATACAATAGATGAAATGAAAAAATACTTGGAGGCTTTTGATTATGTAACTAATATTTCTACTCTTGGTGTATCAATAGGGGATTAAGAATCAGAAGTTAGATATTTTGTACCTTATGTCAGAGCATAATAATATATAGGTATGTTTGCAGATTCAAGAATGACTATTGAAGAGAAAGAAGAATTAAAAAAGGAGTTAGATTTATTAAAAGAAGTAGATACAAAAACATCAAATAGATAACCAGTAATAGATTTTGATTAATTTATGATTCAAATGTTTGTGAAGTATAAAATATTAGTAAGCAGAGCCAAAGAGTATGTTATTAATGCATTTGCTGCATGCGATTTAGGTAACCAAAATAGCATATATTAACTTAGATGGCAATGGAATGTGTAATTTTGAAGAATGGTATTTATTGCTTAGACATATAGAACCTGATAGATTGACTAATGATGAGATTTCTGAAATATTCTTTACAAATGCTGATTTATTAATTAAAGGAGAATAGAATTTTTCATTTGAAAAGTTTGCTGTTGTATGTGTTGAATATGGATTATTTTCAGAAGAAGCTTAAAATTAATTCTTATAAATAAAGGGTACTAAAACTGAGATTATGATTTAAGTACAAATATTTATTAAACATCGATAGTTTTAAAAATTAATTGATGGATGGATAGGATAGAGAAAGGTAATAGAATAAAGATTTGAATAATTAACATTATTGGAAACAGAGAAAATAGATTCCTGGAGAGAAATTATCGAAACTTTAGAAAGAAAGATACTAGATCTTAAAGAACATTTAACATAGGCTGGGGTTGAAAAGAAAGTAAAGCCTCTTTTGATTGCTAATTTATTGTTGAATAAAGAATCTGAAATGTTATTAGAATTATAAGAAGATATGGAAGATGATGGATCACCAAAAGCAAAAGGTTTTCAATAAAATTTTGGTTCGAATGAATCTATTCGTATACAAATGGATATTATTAAGGAATGATGAATTAAAATTAATAAATATATGTTTTCATCACTATCTGCTGGTTACGATGATTTATGGAAGGCCATTATTAGACCTCCAAGAGATAACGAATATACTGAGTAGGATTTAGGTAAGATAAGTATGTATATTTAGGTCCAAGTCAATTTAAAATTTAAGGAGTATTGATTAAGAGAACAGATTTTTAAATCAAAAATAAGAGAGGACTTAAATTAGAATGCTCATTTTTTGAGCCAGTTAAAAAACCTTGTGAGTAATTACCATGTGTAATATACTTGCATGGTAATAGTAGTAGTAGATTAGAATGCTTACCTTCTTTAGATGGACTTCTTCAGGTATTATTCATAATATAAAAATTAAAAAGCAATATATCTAAGTGTTTTGCTTTGATTTTGCTGGATGTGGTAAATCGGAAGGGGAATATTTATCTTTAGGATGGTATGAAAGAGATGATGTTGAAGTGGTAGTTGAGTGGTTACGTTAAAGCAACAAAGTTTCTACAATAGGATTATGGGGAAGATCTATGGGTGCAGTTACAGCATTAATGCATGCAGATAGAGATCCTAGTATAGCTGGTTTAGTTTTGGATAGTGCATTTTCAAATTTAAAGACTTTAGCAGAAGAATTAGCAAAATAATATGCTCAAAAAGTACCATCATTTGCCATTTCTGCAGGATTATCTATGATAAGAAAAACTATATAATCAAAAGCCAATTTTGATATTGAAAACATTAATCCACTTAAGAATCATGTTTCTAAAGCTTTCATTCCTGCATTTTTCATAGCTGCTGATGAAGATACTTTTGTATTACCTCATCACACTAAGAAATTACATGAAGCATATGCTGGAGATAAAAATATTGTATTTGATGTTTTATATATATAATTAGTCTATAGTTCCTGGTGATCATAATTCTAAGAGACCATCCTTTGCAATGAATTCAATAGCAATATTCTTTTATAATACTCTATAAGTGAAGCATTTAGTTCCTGAATACAAGGTATTTTATAATTATATTTTAAACAGCAAGATCTGGAGAAGCCTGATAATAATCAATAATTTGATGAAGCCAATTTTTTATATAGTTATAACAATCATGTTGGAAATGCATTTTAAGTTTAGGGAGCTATGAATGATTTTGATGATGATGAAGAGTTAAGAAGAGCAATTGAGGAAAGTCTAAAAATAACTAATTCTGAACCTAGTCAATAAAATTAATAAAACTCATAAAATAGACCACAAGTTTAACCATATAAACAACCTGAAGACCTTTTAAAATTCTCAGATGATGAGAGTTTGCTATGAAAACATGATTAAGATCATTCGTTTAATTTATCAACTATTTCACATAAAACTTATGATGTTTATCTGTATTGTTTTGGTATTTATGATAATTATCCTAATCTTTATTCTATATTATCCAATTCTAAATGAGGTTTAAATCTTTGCATAGCCAAAGTAGAGACTGATAACTTTTGATCTTCTTCTCTCATACCCAATTATTCTCTTAATTTAGATATTTCATATTCTTCAATTAAAATCTAAAATTTATTAATAATAATACATTATCACTCATTCTTTTTATTGCATTTAATTTATTTTATAATAATAAATTTTCTATTGCCTCACTCATATATGTTAAATCATCCATTAAAGACAAATCAAATTTATCTATCATTCTTTATTCTCCATTTACATATTGTATTTCACGAATACAACACATTTTGGCTATATCTTAAAAATCAATTAATTCATCAGCTGATTATTTTAATAAGATCTTTTTTAAATTCTTTTTCATACCAATTAAATTTTTTACTACTTAAAACATCTTTCTTGAATTATTTAAATATTCCTAAAATATAATTTTAATCTCTATACTTTTAATTAATGTAAATTATGTATTAAATTAAATATTTATTTGCTAAAATTAATATACTGCTAAGCATAAGGATTCTTTATGGTTTACAATAGTGAATATTTTTTTTTTTATTCTTGCTATTCTTTTACTTTTTTAAATCTTTAGATTAAAGTTTGACTTTCAAGTTTCATAATTTCAGTTTCAGTTCTAATTTTTTTCATTACAGCTTATTTGGTTGGTTGTTTTTATTTTCTGATTGAATTAAGATGATCTAAGTAATCATGTAAGTTTTATTCATCACTTCTTTATATTCGAGGAGTTAGGATTGGTAAATGCTTTTATCTAGGTGTTATTGTACTATCCCCATTAATAGTAGTTTCATTTCCAGGCAGAGCAGTAATATTGAGAGGTCGAATTTTACTTGAAAGTCCTTACCTTATTGGTGTAACTGATTAAAATCTTTTTATTGGTCTCAATTAAGAAGATTTATGAGTAGTAATAGTTTCTTAATGTTTGAATGTTGGAAACACTAGATGATTTTTATATATGAGACTCATTAAAATTTATATAATTTTTATCTTCTCTTTTATAATTACTATACTAATATACTCAATTATCAATTTTATTAAAATATATTTATTCTGTTGTTAATCTTACAATCTAATTTCCATTTCATATTCAATTTTTCTAACTATTAATTTTTTACTAAATTTATAAAGATTCATTATGCAAACTATAATTTATGTTCATATTGTAAATTGAAAATAAGAAACATATATTTCATAATTTATTTTTATTAATACTAAATAATGTATATAAATATTTTACACTTATCATTATATATAACTTAATTTATATTTGTAAACCGAATTTTGGTTTTATAACATAATCCTAATTATTTGGTTACTAATATATCCTTAACATAAATATAATTATTAAGACAACTAATTATCTTAATATCAACTATTTCCTTAAGAGATTATAACTAAGTAAAGAAAATAGATTTAAAAAAAATAAGTTGTATTTCTAAGTAAATTTATTTAAACAATAATTGTTAAAGAGCACTTTAAATAACGTTTCATATTTTATTTTTGATTACTATATTTACCTTAAAACCTAATTTAAATGAATTAAAATATTGAATTATTATGAAATTAAACCCATAAAGGAATATTAAAATTTAATTCTGAAATTTATATTCTAATATTCAAAGAATAAATTGAAATACCAATTTCCATAAAACTTAACATAATAGTTGACTGGAAAGTAATATTTCATATAAAAAATAAGAATATTTGACAATAGTATTATTAGTATAATTAATAATTATTAATAAATATTCTAAATATATTTATTATCATCTTTTTTTTTAACCTACTTATTGCTATTATTATTATTCTTATTCTTATTGCTATTTTAATTTATCCTATTATTAAATAAATTTAATATCTTAAGTGTAAAAATTATCTTATTTGAAATAATCAAATTAAGATGTAGAATAAATGAAATCTAAATTACCATTTAAATCTATTTAATTTTAAAATTATTTAGATAATTCTTCAACTATTCCAGCTGCTTAAAATACTTTTAAATCAGTAACATTATTATCGTCTTTTACAATAGTTCCTACTTCCTCCTAAATAAATGTCTCCAATATTTATGGTATTGTGTGTTTGTAAGGAGAATCAAATTTCTCCCATAACTAATATAATTTAAGATTTTGTTCAAGTAAACCTTTAGTAATAACTCTCAATTCATCTATATTGAATTATTAAAATTCAATAACTTATTCAATATATTTAATATATAGATATTTTAACCATCTCTTTTATTGACCCATCAAATAATAAAGTACTCCTTTTGTAGGATGTGAATTGTTTGAATAAAAATCTCTTAAAGAATCATTAACAAAACTTATTTAATTAATCAATTTAATTAATTATTCTCCCTCTTAATACATCTTTATTTATAATAATTAGAATTTAGGCACAAAATAATGTACTTTAATCATATATTGATCTTAAAAATATTCACATAATTCAATAGCTCTGTCTATTGATTAATGAATCCAAGATAACATTATTACTTTATTAATACCATATTCTACACTATTTAATATGATTTATTCAAATGAAAGTAATTACTTTCTTAATTCTGCATCTTGAAATTCTTCTTAAGTTAATTCCTTCTATTGTATTTTTTAACTTACAATAAGTTTAATGGATGATATCTAACTTGCAATCTCTTTTAATCTTTATTTAGAATTCTTTTTGAGATTCATTTCTACCATTTGAATTCCTTCAGGAGTTAAATGATACAATAAATATTATGAAATGATATAAAATACTTTTAGTTATTATGATCTAAATGGTAATGTTTATAACAAATATAATAGATCTGTTAATTGAATATCAATTTCAAAAATTTGTTATTATTCATTCTATTTAGTTTATTAATATTATGATTATTATCTACCTCTATTTGTTTGATAAGATTATTAATAAATGAATTAATATTATAAATTAATAGCTGATTCAACATGAATCAATATTTATTCATGAATAAATGTTTCATCAATTACATTATTATAATATTAATCTGATTCTTCATAAATACAATCAAATAATTATAAATTAAATAATTTCATAAATTCTTCATTTTAAATATTATTTTAAAAATGAAATATATTTTTTTCAATTTTTATAATTACTGCTTATTCAAATTAAGAAGATTTAATATAATTAAGTGCATGTTTAGAACAATTAAAAGCTAATTAGTAATCATATCTACAAACATAATATCTACTCAATTAATGGCAGATTATAGCATGAAATAATGTTTTCTCTGTTAATTGATATCTAGCAACTTTACTATGCAATTAATCTACTTCTTCACCAATTTACATATTAAAATATAAAAGTAATGATTCATATAATTGAATCATCTTTGTATATCTAGCATCTAAAAGTAATTATCGAAGTTAAGTTCTAATTTAAATTTATTGTTCCTCAATATTTTCATGATAAAGTGAAAAATAAAATAGACATTATGAATCTAATAGAAGATCCTTGTATTATTATATAGTAGGATATCTAATATATAATTAATCATATGGTTTAATAATCTTCATATCTTATGATTTTGTATAAAAGGTGAAGATTTTGAGATCCATATCAAATCCCTCATGAGCTTCTTCTAATAGAATTGATTTGTTTTGTTACATTTTTTAAATTAAACGAATAAAAATATCAACCTAATCTATCAATTAAAAGCTTATAAACTATTAAATCAATAATAAAATAAAAATTGATGGATTAATATTATAATTAATAATTCTTTTTATAGCTTCAAATGTAAATTACAAACCAACACCTTATTATAAACTTAAAGTAATAAAAGTGTAAATTTGTTAATATTTTACAAAGCCTATTGCTTCATCATCAAGTAAGTTACAATAATCATGCAATTAAACAATTTATGCAGCCTTTAACATTAAATGATAAGATTCTTATGATTTATTTTCCTCTATTTAATTTAAAGCACTTTATAATTGAGTTATTTCAAATGAACTTTAATTATGAAAATTTTCAATATGTTTTGGTGAAAATGCATAACATATTGCTAATAGATATGTTAATCTAAGCTAACTTAAACTAAAATGTTAAAACCATGATTCTTCTAAATAATAATAATAATATTTATATTATTTTATTAAACTCTTCAATTACAATATCTTAGACTTATCTTCATATTTTTTATTTAGTTTCTAATAATTATGAATATTTTAATTTATAATTATATTTGTTGATTAAAAATCATCCATATGTAATAATTACATTAATAATCTAATTTTAAGCAATATGAATCGTAAATCATCTCTATCCTATTCCAAAAACTCAATTAAAATTTACCTATTTACTAAAGTTTTATTAATTAGACTTTGAGTCATTAATTATACCCACATGTATTAAAAATCACTACTATCTATAATATCATAAATCTCATTGAAATTTGATTCATTCCATTTTCTAATCTTTAATATCAAGTATTTTCCTAATTCACAATCTTCATAAGTTTTTATCTAATCCTAAGGAACTTCGTATTTCATTAATTGCAAAATTTAATACTTTAGATTATCATAAACAGGTATATTTTATATTTAAAGTTTAACAAATTATTAACAATGCTAATCAAACATTACATTTTATTCATCAAACCATACAATCAATTATAAATATTAAAAGTACAGATATTACATACAATAGTTTACATTATTATGAATTTCATCTAATATGTTAAAGTCACTATTTGGTTTATTAAACAAATCTATAACATCATCATCATCCATTTAAGGAGAAAATTAATCTAAATTAAACATTTCTAAACTTATTTGTCTTGCTTATTCTAAAATTATAGGTAATTATATAGGTTTAATAATTTTTTATGTATTTTTTATGCTATCATCTATTAAAAAACTAGCAAAACCATAATTTTTATTAAAATATTATTTTATGCTTTATACTACATTTAATTGATTATTATATCTTTATAATTGAGACTTGTATTAAATTATTACATTTAAATATTCTTAATTATATCTTAAAGTTTCTAATAAAAACATTCTTTATTCTGAAAATAACTTTACATTCTATTTATTCTTTTTTCTCTTTCTCAAAAGTGTGTGTTATTCAGTTGGATTTAAATTTTAAAATTCAATATTAAGACATAATTATCTAATAATCAAATTAATTTCATTAGAACAACTTTAGATTCCAGTAAGTAAATTATGTAAATCTTCATCAAATTCTAGTTTTAAAGCACATAATGTTGCCATTTTTAAATAATATATTAAAATAATGTCTAAGTTTCTTTACATATAATTTGGCTATAGAATAATTTTAGATATATCATCTTTTAAAGATTTAGAAAAAATAGATACAGCATCTTTATTTTAAGGTGGATATTCTCTTTTTAAAATATTATCAAATTATTGAATTAAATTTAATGTTTAATCATAAAATTTCATTCTGAATGAACAATTAATCTTATGTAAATATAATTAAATTTAAGAATTAAATGATTGGTCTTGTGATTTAAAAATTTCAGACGCATATTAAATCTCTTTAAATTTATGTTGTTTTCTAATTTCATAAACAATTTAATCTATAGTTATATTGTTATCTAACATAGCTCTTAAAACATCTGTTAATTTGTGATCCATTTATTCCAACTATTAATATGGATCATCTATTTGCTTTAAACAAATCATTTAAATAATAACTTTTGCTAAATTGTATAATGGTTATTCATTTTTTAATGTATTTAATAAAGCATATTATCTGCCATCAAGAAAATAATTATATATACTTATATAAGGATGAGGTTTGGATTTCATTAATACTAGATTTGCATATAAAAATTCAAGTATTTCTTCTATTTTATAATCTATTCCATAAGTTTTTCTAAATTTTATGACTTGCCATAAACTTAAAGGTTTTTCAAGCTCATATAGAGAAATGCAATATCCTTTAATTACAAAATCATCAATTTAATCTATAATATTAGATAATCTTAAATAGTTTTTACTCTCTGCATAGTAAACACCATGTTTACTGTCTAATTTTTATTAAAATTACAATTTTTAACTATAAGTAACTTGTAAAAATTAGACTAAATATTCTTAATCATTTTTTTTACCTAACCAAATATTATCATGAAAATGCTTTATTAATTCAATATTTTCAATCTAAAATTGTTCTTCAATAAAGAATTACATTGCAATTTCTTATAATTTAGTAGTCTAAGTATCAAAAATAAAAGTATCTCTAAGCTAATCAATTACAGTTTTAAAAATATATGATTTTTTTGGATATAATATATACTATTGTATATTTAATGATTATGATGTTAATGGATAAACAATCTAATCCATTTATTCAAATGTCAATTAACTTACCATATTAATAAATTCTTTCATATTATAACCATCCATTTTTTAATTAGTTTCTAACAATTTATTATACTATTTATGAATATTACTTTTTAGAGAAAAAGTTCCATTTTGAACAGATGTTTTTGTAATTAAACGTATATTCTATATAGCAGACCTTCTTAATACAGTCTTTCTAAATCCTCTAATCCAAATAGCCTTAATCTTTAGTACTACTACTTTTCTGCAATTTAACCACAGATTTTTTTCAATATAATTTTATTACTTCTAAACCATATTTTCATACTCTTTAATATCATCAGGTTTATTACTGTTTTTAGTTACTTATTAAAACTTTTTTCTAAATTTTAATTATGCATTATCAAAATACACTTAATGAGTAAGTTTGTAGTTCTATTTTAAAATATATAATTTTCTTTAATCTAAATTTTTGATTGCCAATTTTTTCCTTTTCATAAAAAAGTGTCTTTAAGTCAAACGATCTTCAGTCCACAATTTCTTATAAGTTGTTAAGACGGACAATTTATACAAATATTTCCAATATTTGATTAATTTTTTTTTTCTTTGAAAAGGATTTAAATTGTTATACTAAATTTCAAATGCCCAATTTGATACTCTTTATGAAAACTAGTTATGCAACAATTCATAAGGTGGATCATCTAAATCAATCTTTTTGGGTTGTATTTTAATTTCTCTTTTTTAATTCATTTCATTTCTCATTTATCCTTTTCTAATATGTTCTTCAAGATCTGATTGTGAGCTTATAGTTTAAAAACTCCCAAACTCCATATTATTAGTGGAATTAAATACTTTGAATAAGGGAAATCTTTTATAGATATCTTCTTCTTCTTTTTTAATTTTTGAACTATGTTTAGTCTTACTGAAAATTTCGAGAGTTGATTTAAGAAGATATTTATGCCTTATTGTTAATTAAGTTAGTCTGAAAGGAGTATCACCAAAAACCGAGGCTATAACAAATTTAAATAGACTATTTGAAATTAATAGACTTAAGAATACTAAGACTAATTATTCTCCATATTTTTTATTATAAAGTACTGTAATTATTCCTGTATTAGTGAGAATACCAATTTAATTAACAAGATCCAAAATGTTATTCCAAATTCCTAAAGAACTTTCATTCTAAGGCCAGGGTCTTTAGAGACAATACATAAAGGAATATTTTTTGACTTATAATTGTAAAATATTAAAAGACCATAAAAGAAAATAACTAAGAGGAAATGAATATCCGAAAATAATTAGTAAGGAATAAAGAATTAAGATTTCCATATAATCTTCTAAAGTTCCATATCTTTCAGGACTTATTGCATATGATTACCTTCTAGATGTTTCATCAATAAATTATAAAATATCATTGTCATTGATTTCATATTTAATCTTTGGATATTTAGCTAAATCTGATATAAACTTAAATAACTGCAAAATTTTAAATAGAAATTACCAAATAATGATAGTAGAAAAATAATATTGTACATGTCTAGAACAATTGCTTTTAGAACAATATAAATTTAAAGGTCCATTTAGGTAACCAATGAATAATAATGGAACTACATATGAACAAAAATAAAGTATAAATTTTTTAACAACAAAACTGGTTTCGTATTTTTACATAGTTTTATGATTTTCAAAATCAGTTACTGATGTTGAAATATAATCATAAAATTTATCAACAAATAATTAAACAAATACATTAATAGTAGCTGATAGTGTAACCTCTAATGACATCACTGAAACATTCGAGAATTCACTTCCAAATGAATTTCTTAAGGCTGTTGTAAGTGTAAACAATCCTACAACTAATCCACTATAGGCTGCTATTAATAAAACAAGTAAAATAGAGGCTAAAAACAACCTTAATACTAAATCGCTATCATCTTGGGCAGCTGAATTCAATTGATCATTTTCCAAGGATCTAATGAAAGTTCCTTTAAATGATGATCTTTCAGTTGATTTCTCCTTTTCATTTAATTAACCATATTTTAAATTAAACCTTACTTATTATTATTTCCAATAATCAGTTACTATGCTATTCCATTAAATTAATACAAATGAGAATATCATAGTTATTATAATACTAGCTTCGCCATCCTAATTATTTAGTATCCATTCAGCTAGACTACATCCAAAACCACAAACAGAAATAAATGTTAACATTTTAGTATAATAACTCAAGAAATAAAAATACAATCCTATTTTCTCACCATAATATGAACATATAATATCTATAGGTACATACCAAGGTTCAAATATTTTGAATTTCCATTCATCTGCAAAAAAGAATAACTTTTTATGATAAAATTAAGTTTCACTTGTTAAAGCCTTCTCAAAATTCTAACAATACCCTAATAATTCATATTAATCATTTAAACAAAAAAATTGACTAATAAATCCTTTCATAGTAAATGAATTTATATCAAAACAGTCATCAACAGCTAAATATACTAATTTTAATCTATCAATTGATGAAAACACAGAAATATTTCCATCTTCATCTTTTTAATATTTACACCAAATCATTTATTATTATGCTTAGAGTGTAGGTGCCATTTTTTTTGTAGGCCTTCTAAAATTTATATAAGGCTCTTATGGTGTTAAATCAACTTGGTCCCAAAGATTTTTTATATATTATTTAGAATCATTAGCCACTTCTAAAGATTCAATAAAGGCTTACATATAATTATATGCCAATCTCTCCTTCTATAAGATTTTAATATACTTTGTCAATGGAATGTTTTATTCTATCATATATTATTTATATTCATTCATTAAAGATTCAGCATTTTAATCATAAAATTCTACTTTTTCTAAATGTTATTTGTTTTCAGGATTCAATATATTTTATTTATTAAGAAATATTTCTTATTTGTTTCCTAAACCTTATTATATTAATTCTTTTTTCTATCTTTTAATATATAACTAAAAGGAATCCATTTATTTATTTAAAATAGCTGATAAATCACTATTAATAATATTCTATTCTCGATGTTCACTCACACACTTTTTTAAATGAACCAGATATTTATAATATGCAAACCATTCATCATCAGATGGACCATGATCTTCCTCATCATTTAAATCCTATTTTCCATATTAAAATAATTCTTAATTTATGTGACTTTGATTTACTTCTCTACTTAATCTTTTGAAATTGATTTATTCAATTAATTCTATGATTTGAGGTCTCAAGTACTCAAAAAATGTTGTGCATTTATATTCAAAAGGTTTCCATAATCGATTATTTAATCTTAATGGTCTTAATCTTTTATCAACAGGTTCAAGAGAAAAAAGGTCACTGAACCAAAAATTTAATCGTTTTGAAAGCTTTTTTTATTCTGCTACAACTTTTAAATTTTCCTCATCCATCTTAATCAATAAAAATATCCATCTACCATCATTTGAAATCATTTATCTTGTTTAAAATCCCTTTCTTGATAATTTAATTAAAATTGCATTTCTTAACATTGTTGATGTATCCAATGCTTCTTTTGGAGTCTTAAACCATTATTCTTATATCTAATTTATATATTCTCCTTTTATGTCACATCTAATTTAAGTCTCTTCTAAACTTTTATAATCCAAATTTATAAAATCTATCAAATTGACTTTCATATTTTAACTTAAAGCTGATTCAAACTTTTCTCTTAAAGATTTCATTGCAAGATTTAATTTTTCTGATGCACTTAAAATTGGTCTAATAGATTTAGAAAATCTTTTCCCTGATTAAGTTTATTAGGTAAAAAATTATTTATATCTTACATCACTTTATTAAGATTATAATTGAAAAGGGTCTGAAGAGACTGAGTTTTGTAGTTCAGATTAAGATATTGATAAAAATTAATAACTAGTCTCTATTGCTTTAAATAGTAATTGGTCATTTAAGGATTTAGAATTTATCTTCAAAGCTTATTGGACAAAGTCAAAAAACTCTAAGGGTCTCATTTACTAAGGACGAGCAACCTCTTCATAATCTGGGTTAGGAAAGCTCATAATTTCTCAATATATATAATTACGAAATCACTCCATCTGGATAAAATGCTGTATGATAATCATATGAACACTTTCCTATTAATCTTTCATACTCCTATTAATCATCATCTGTAAATTCAGTTCCCTATAAGGCTTTTAAATATAATTCATATAATTTTAAAGGATCTTAAAGTTTGTTTTCAATCTTCTTCCTCTTTTTGGTTTTAGGCTAATCTTTAACTATTTTAGATTCGCTTTTAAATTACTGGAATGGAAGATATTTCTTTCGGAAGCCATCTTAACATTCTGTATTTGGTCTTGCTTACTGTAATTTATACATATATTATTAAGCACTAAATACAAAATATATAATTTATAAATAAATATTGATGTAAATTGTTTTCATAAAAGTTAATCAGCATCAGATACTTCCTCTTTATTTATTGATTATTACTAAAATAAATTAATTAAATTTTTACTAATATTCCAACACTATTAAATAACTTATCCTCCATTTGTTCTGCTACTGGGTCATCAGGTACTTTTTCATCTTCCTCAACTTATATTTACTAAACCTAATTTTAAACTAAGGCTGGATTAGTAAATTTATCATTATCAGTACCATCCTCAAATTTCTCATCACCATATCCATCATCATCATTAACTTAATTAACAATTTAAGCTTAATCTTCATTATTTTAATTATCTCTCTAAATATCTTAGGTAACTTTCTATTATTATTCTAAAATATTATTTTTTTATTAACCCTCTAATTCCCTTTATTTTCTTTTTTCCTCTAAAATTTTTTTACCTTCTTCCTTCTATTATTTCTTTTTGTAAGCTTTTTGAATTTTAACAGCAACATCATCTAACTCTTTTTATTCTTTTTATTTTTACTCTTCCTCTTTCTTTTTCAATTCTTCAATCCTTCTTTCTTCTTTGAGTTCTTCTAATAGCTTCTTTCCTTCTGATTTATTTTTTTTGTGTCTATATGCTCCTTAAATTCTTGATGCTGCCATATTAATTTCCTCTTCTTTAGCCTTAATTTCTTTCTTTATTTCTAATTAATCGTCAAGCTCTTATTCAAATTCAAAATCATAATCATCTTCATTATTATTTTTTTCTTTTTTATCCTTATTACCTTTCTTTTGATTTTTACATACTGAATCTCTTTCATTTCGTTTACTCTCCAACATTTATTTTGCTTCATCAATTTACTATTTGTTTTTAAAAGCCTTTTATATTTTTAAAGCACTTTCCTCTTATTCTTTCTTTAATTTTTCTTCCCTCTCCTTCTATCTTTTTATCCTATCTTCTTCTTTTTATTTTTAGTCATTGACAAATTTTTCTCTTTTTTTTTATTCTAATAACGCTTTAGCTTCTGCAATTTATTTCTTTTTTTAATATGCTAATTATATCTTCATAGCAGCATCTTCTTCCTCTTTTAAAAGTTTTTCTTTCTCCTCTTATTCTTTTAATAATCTCTATCTTTCTTATTCTTCCTCTTACTTTTTTGCTTGTAATTCAGCTAAATATTATTCTTTTTCCTTTTTTTTCTATTCTAATATTTTCTTACCCTCCTCTTTCTACTTTTTTTATTTATAAGCATTTTATATTAACAATGCTTTTTCCTCTTCCTCTTTCCTTTATTATTCTTCATATTTTCTTTATTCTTCTTCTTTTTATTTTTATTCCTCTTCTTCTCTTCTTCTTCTTTCTTCTTCCTAACGTTTTAATTCCTCTTCTTTTCTTTTTCTTTCTTCTTCCTTTCTTTTTAAGTCTTCTTATTTCTTTTTTTAATCTTCTATAATTTTCCTTTACTCTTCCTCTTATTTTCTTTTTTAATCTTCCAAAATTTTCCTTTACTCATCCTCCTATTTTTTTTTCTCTTCTTGCTGCTTCCTTAATTATAATTCCTACATCTTCTTTTTTTCTTCAAGATATTGTCTCTTCTTTTCTTTCTAATCCTATAGAATCTTTTTACCTTCTTCCTTTTACTTTTTCTTTTTATAAGCAAGCTAAATCTTCATTGCTGCATCCTCTTAATCTTCTTAGGGTTTTTATTAATAATCATCAAACTATTCTAAATATTCTTCTTCTACATTCTCTTTTTAATCTTATTCTTTTGGTTTAGCTGAATTTTTGGAATCCTTATCCTCATCTCTCTCAAAATAATCATCATAATTCTCCTCTTCTTCATTATTCTTTTTACTTTCTTTTGCAGATTGATAATTAGGATCATTATCAATAATTTAGGATGAATTTCTAGCATGACTTCTTATTTTAGCTTATTTTGAAGTATCTGAATTTTATGTTTATATCTTTATATAATCATTAGGGCTGTCTTATTTTTATGTATATGGAGGAGAATTTAATTTTTACTAATTAATTTATTTATTTTATGAATCTACCTTAAAATCATCTCTAAAAAACTGTTCCCATTATAATTATATCAAATCCCTATATACTTAATAAATGTGAATAAATAATTAATCCTTTTACAAATCAGTAATGAATATTTAAGACTCTAATATTAATTATTCAAATTATCTTATATTTATGTATTCTTAATTTTAAAATTTCTACTTGAATTTTCTTGTAAGTTCTTCTTTATGTTTTAGTAAAGTCTATAAATGGGATAAATACTCTATTTACTTTTCTAACTTCTTAATATATTGATTATCCTTCATAAGTGATGTATTCTTGAATAAGAGACAATATCATATTTTTAAATCTATTGGCACTTATCATTTTTTGAATAGGTTAATCATATCCATCACTTTTGAGTAAGGCTTTAGCAAATTTTTAAGCTTTGACTGCATCCATATCTAATTTGTTCTTTAGAAACTCAACAACTCCATTTTCATTTAATCTTCCCTTATTGAGTGTGGATAATTTCTATAATGATATAAATTTAATACTTCCTTAAATTTAGCAAAGGGAATATTATCTAAATGCAATTAACAACGTATTTCATCAGCATAACATTATGCTAATTCTTAATCAAGTAAAATAGAATCTGTACTATTATTTTACCTTAATTATTCTTATTATTAAAACTATGCTATTTATTATTATTATTAAGAATTATTATTATTTTAATTCTTTGGACTAGATGATTGTTATTATTATAAATTTCTTCCTTATTTCTATTCCAATTATTTTCTATTGTCTGATTAAAATTTCTTTAATTGTTATTCTAATTTTTTAATTTTCTCTTTTTATTCTTCTACCAAATAATTCAATTTAGTTCTCTCTTCTATATCTTTATCAATTTCTTCCTAACTAATTAAATATTAGCCATTAGCTCCTCTTTTCTTGAATACTTATAATTTTTGATTTAATAACTAAAGATCTCTGGCTTATTTATTTATTGTTTTCTATTATTGTTAAACCTAATGTTCTAATTGATTATTCCTCTCTTCATAAAGTCTTTAATTAATAATTATTTTTACTTGACAATTTGAACTAATTCTTAATTATCTTTAAGATAGCTTTCATTCTATTATTGCAACTCCTTAACAATTTCATTATTTGAAGAATGCTCCTGAACATGACTATGATATATTTAATATTACTTTTATTATTATTATAATATTTCATCTCGTTCTTTTAGGAGTTCTCTTAATCTTTATAGTTCTTCATAAACTTCTCTGATTTCAGCCTTGATTATTAAATATTTTTTACATCAAGTTCTTAAAATTTGCTTACTTTAGCATTTTTCTTAAAATTTTGGATTGTAATTTCCTTTTCTCTCAATTCATTTTATTACTCTTTTATTTGTCTTTTCATTTATAGAAATAGTGATGTCTAATGATATCATTATAAAATTAAAACCTCTACTCCCAATTTCATTTATACATTTTTCAAATTACCATTATTTTGAAAATCCTCTATGATTCTCTCATATTTTTGTATTGTTTTCTATCAATATATTATTAACAATACTTCTTATTATAAAATTGTAGTCCTTTATTAATAATTTTCTGTCTTCAAGTGGTTGATTTGTGTTTTAGCTTATGATAAATGCTCAAAAAGTCTTTCTTTATCATACACTTCCATATTATTTCTAAAAAAATCAGTTTCTTGTTAAATCTATCTAGCTTTTATATCGTTCTAACCACTTTATGGTCTCTCCTCTACTAAGTTATTCACTTTAACCTTTTTCGCACTTAGTAAATAGATTAAGTTACATTTTAAATCCTTTAACAGAATATCCATAAGGTTGGCTAGAAGGTATTTTTTAATTAGGATTTTTAGCTGATTAAGCTCGAATAGCTTTCTACTAATTTGAATAAATTATATACTTATCTTTCTGACATGTAAATTAATAATTAATTATATTTATAAGCTATTATATTTAAATAGAAATTGCATCAATTCTAAACATATTTCAAACAATGTTATTGATCATTTATTCAATTAAAAATGTACTCTCTTTTAAGAATGTATATCATTATTATTAAACTAACTCTTTTTATATTGACTGTACTTCATTTCCTATTTTAAAATACTTTTCACTGATCTATTATCAGCACTTTAACTTCTTTAACTTTCTAATTCTTCTTTATTAATTATTTCCTTGTTCTACTTGTGTTCACTAATAGATTTTAATTTATTTAGTCTTTTTGAATCAAATGATTTTAAAGAATTTTTTGGTTAAAATTCACACAAAGGAGAATCATTTTTTCTTTTCTTTTTCAATGAAGTCTAAGAAATAAATATATCTTCATTTTCTTCATCAATTTTTTAATGAATATCATCTAATTACATAACAATCTCAGCTACTAATTGAATGTCCTTATTAGAGTATTATTCTGATTCTTATTTACTGTGTATAGATTTATTATCAGCAAATACAGGAGTTTATGGATCATCAATACGAAATTGACCATGTGTAACCTTTTTTTTTCCATTGGAAATCTTTTCATTATTCAATGAGAATAAATACAAAGGTTAGTTTTTGTTTTTCTTCCCATCTCTTTAACGTTTAGGACCTTTCGATGATTGAGACGTTTCTTTCATACCTATAGCTAATTCTGAAGCCTAATCATTTGTATTAACAGTACAACATTACGAACTTCCCATTAATTAATCAATTAATACTCAAAAGGAACAAGATAAATATTTATTTTATAAATTGGATATAAAATTTATTATAAAATATTTCACTTTAATAAAATATTTGAATAAAACTATTAACTTTACTTAAATAGATTAAATTATTTTGTGAATATGATTTATCAAATAATGAATTATCTAATCTATTCTATGATTTAAGTATTAGCACAATCAGCAGCCATAACTCCATTGCTTCTCATACCAATATTCTAGAAACCATGAGGAAGATTTTCAACAATTTTTAATTTAATATTTTTTAATCCATTATTTTTACAGTAATGAACAAATTCTATACAATCATCCAATAATACATCATCTGAACCTACAAAAATAACAAAATCTTTGGGAAATTGTTATATAATGTTTTAAGGAGTTTAAATAGGAGATACATAATAATCATTTGGTAGATCAGATTGATTTTTTAGATAACATAATCTACATAACATTAATAGTCCCATAGGTATCATTTTATCATTAATACTTTTGAGATTAGAAGGTACTATATCACAAATATTCAAATTAACAGCAGGATATTACAAAATAATTTTATCTGGAATTCTTTAATAGGTTTCTATTGCTCTAATAGTTATTCCTAAAGCCAAATTACCACCAGCCGAATCTCCTATCAAAATTATATTTTTTGGAGAAATTTTGAAATAGGTAGCACCAAAATGAACTATCCACATGTAATATTGCCAACAGTCATCAAGTGCAATAGGGAAAGGGAATTCAGGAGCTAAACGATAATCTATTGAAAAGATAATTGTATTATATAATTGATTAACCCATTTTCTTGTGTACGATTAATGAGAAAAAGAAGACATTGCAATGAATCCTCCTCCATGTATATGAATGATTATATTGGTAATATCATTTAATCCGATCTCATTTCTTGATGAAACACAACATTGACCAAAAAATGTCATTGGATATTATATTTATTAAATATGTTAAGTCTTTTACATTTAGAATTCACTTTTTGTCAAATTTTTCACTATTTATGCAATATCTTAATTATATATTCTTTATTTAAAGATTTATCGATTACACATAACTCTAACTCGAATATCATGTTCATTTAATTTCTATCTAATGCTTCTAAATGCTATTTAATAGAGTTTGTTTTTAGGAATATCAGTTGGATTGGTATTAAAATTATGTAAAGAATCTAAGGTGATTTGATTAAATAATCTTGGAATGTAGATTATTTTCTTGAATTTAATTTATTCTAATTGCATTTTAAAACCCGCTTTTATGATCTTTGATTCATCTATTACTCTCCATAATTTTAAAACATGTTCAAGTGTTGGATTTGTGAGTATTTATGTTGCAATAAGATTGGTTGCCTCCTAGTTTGATATATAATAAAGTATTTTCAAATTTTTAACTAAATATGACATAACTATAGATTAATATTGTTTCCCAGAATTTGCATATGCATGTCCCAGATATATTTTTTTATAAAAGTTTGTTAATTGTTATATTATTTTGTCTGGTTGATCCAATATTATTATTTCAATATTTGGAATATTCATATATTCATCATCATTAAAAATAGTATTTTTTGGCTTTTTATACATATATGGTAATATATTAGTAATCTATTTTATTTTTTAAAGTTCAAATGCCAATTTAATTTATATCCCTCTACTCTATTCGATATTAGACAATTCTTAAATTTTAGGTAGTACATCATTATAAATAATTTTTAAACATTTCTTAACAAATATTAAATTCCCATCTTAAGTATTCATAATTTCTAATTTATTTTAAAATTCATTTAGAGTTTAAATGATTTTTTAATTATTTGTGTTATCAATAATAGTTTTTATATTGTTTAATTCATCTTCATTCATTTTATATTATATTATAATTTTATTTGATTAAAATAAGATAAGTTTAATACAAATATTAACAATTTCTAAATTATTCAAGTTATTATATTGATATCCTTTTTTGAAGAAGTGATAATTATCTATAATTTAGAAAATATATTTATTTAAAATTATGAAATTTAATCAATCTCCAAAATCAACTTATACAGAAAATTTCAATCCACCTCCTGGTTATTATATTGGTAATGATTTAAATGATATGCTCAATACAATTAAGACTAAACCACCTCAATAATAATTTTCAAGATCAGATAGATTTGGAGATATTTAGACAAATATTCATTCTCAAAGTAAATCTGTTGAAGGATTTGATAAAATTGCTTATTAATCTTCTTTAAAACATTCCTTTTAAAATAAGAAAATACAAGATCGTAATTACGTTTATTAAGCATAAGTATGTAAGTTTTATTAATTTATAGTCATAGCAATAATTGAAAAAGACTTAAGAAGTTGATAAGAAAATGAAGAATTTGCTTATCAAACAAATGGAAAATTGTTTGAATTAATAACTTGAAATAACACCATCAGGATAATATGTTTTAGATAAATCAAAACTGTTGCAAAAATTATAAACTATAGCCCCATTACAAGTAATTATATTCATATAAATCATTAGCCTCCTGGTCCTGGACATTACAATTCAAATGAAACCATAGTGAAACCTAGAGTCAGAGGAGCTATTATTAAAGAGGATAGCAAAAGAACCACATTCTAAGAACCATTCTTGACAGCTGATGTAATATATGGTAAACAATTAACTAATAATGGATAAAATGAATCAGAACCTAATCTATCTCAAAAGTAAAAGTAGAAGAAAATCAAATTCATATAAGGAGATGAATATAATTTAGAAAAATTATTTGAAAAAGAAAGGAAAAAGAAAGAAAAATAAGCTGCTCCACCACCTGGACATTATGAAATTGAATCCCAATTTGGAAAAATTACAGAATTAAATTATCAAAATTAATGTTTTGATAGTAGAGAACAAAGATTTAAATATATTGTAGAGGATAATCCAGGACCTGGTTAATATAGAGCTGATAATTAATTCAATGAATCTGGAGGATATATGTCTAAGTTACCTAGATAACCTCCAAAAGATAATATGATTGTTCCTGTTGGTAATTACATTGTATAAGATTTATCAAAACCTTAAAGAAGAGATGGAATCTTTCCATCAAGCTTTGGTTCTGGATCTAAAAGAATGAAAGAAGTGATAATACATAATGATGTTCCAGGACCAGGTAGTTATGATAATTTGATGTTAAAGAAGAAACAATTTAAATATGTTTTTAGAAAGAAAGAGAAAAGACCTACATTTGAAAAATATCCAGAATCTTTTGGATTATCAGTTGCTAAAGAATTAGTATCTGTTAATACCACTAAAGAACGTAGCAAATCTGTTCAAAAACCAGTATAAATAATAATATAAATCTTTAGTAAAAATCTTCTATGTTTTCCTCTACTGTTCAAAGATTCAAGGATAAACAGATAACTGAAGAATTAGGTCCAGGAAGTTATACTGTTCATGGTTAATTTACTAAAACTACTTTTAATAAAGGAAATGATATCTTTGGAAAAGGATAAAGAATCTAATAATAATAAGTATAAGAAATTGGTCCTGGAGCTTATGATGGGGATTACAAAATACTTAAGAAAAATTTTGTTAGAGATGTTCATTTTTGACTTTTTAATATGTTAACACATGATTATTATTTCTATAAGAATTTCTAATTTCTCTTAAAAAATGTGTCTATTTAAATAAGGTCTATCTTTATTTCTAAATATAATAGATATTAGTACATTTTCTTAATTAGATTCTTATATTTTTGGTTTAATTAATTTCTTCCACATAATAATTATTATTAGTTAATTTTCCATCTTACACATTAAGAAAGATAATAACAAGGTTAGTCCACTTATTTTCTAAAAGGTTATATCATTATTATAATGATAAATATTAGCAATTACTGAAGCAAAAATATTTAAACAGTTGATCTGTATTATCACTATTAGCTGGAATTGTTAAATTGAATTTCAATGTTTAAAGCTTTTAGTAAATTTATTGAAAGGTTTGTGTATAATTAAATTAGATGGAATTCCATTTTGGCATAAAGTAAATTTGATAACCTTGTTTCTTATAATTAATTTTGAATGTATTATATATATTAACAATAGATCCAACTAATGTAACTAAGATTATTTACTTTATATTAACACGTATCAAATAACAATAAACACACGTATATTATGATTTTAAATATTATTTCTATTATATTTTGAAATTAAATTAAATAATCAATTAAAAAGTAATCCATTGTTTTTTTTAGAATATTTCTTAGATATAATTGAACATTAGCATTTTATATTTTGAACATTATCTATATTTTTGAATATAAATTCATTTTTTATTTTATCAGTATAGAAAAATAACTGATTATTAAATTCAAAAATTAATAGAATTAAAACAATACAGTTCTAAATTATTAATATTGTAATATTAACCTCATCTCAATTATATTCATTCATATACGTATTATTAATCAAATTCTTGATCTACTTGCATACATGCTAACAACTCAATGACACAATCTTCATATTCTTTTTTAGTTTCTGGTCTATTATAAAATTTTTGATAATAATTTTCTATGGATTATTAAAAATTTCTTCTTTCATCGAAATCTATAGATTCTTTGAGCTCAATCATATATTTTGTAAATAGACATTATAATAAGGTTTCAGCATCTTTCAAATTAAAATTTTCAGGTTTAGAATACAATTCAGATAGATTTCTACCATTTAGCTAAAAATCTAAATATAATGAATATTCATCTAAAAATTTCTAAGTTAACATTGGTGCTATTTTTTATAAAGGAGGATAATTGATATATTTATCAAATTTATTTAAAAGTACAGGCTCACCATTAATAATTTAGAATTCAGGATAAGTAAATCCAAAAAAGAAAACAACACAATTTTTCTTTGATTTTTCAATAATTTCACAATATAAACCTATTTGTTTAGCAAATTATATTTAATGATTGTTAAGAAATATTCCTGGAATATCTTAATTTTTTTATTTTTATTTTTAGTGGTTTTAAACATTCTATTCTTGTTTAGATTTTTTTGTTCCTGTTTGCTAAAAGCAAATAAATCTTCCAAAACGAGAAAGAGTTTGAATAACTTGTGTACTTTATTAATCTGAACTCCAAGCATTAGTTTTATCCAAAGGCTTTGAAGAATTCATTCCTTTTGGCTTACCACTTTTGTTGATTCTTTTTTCTATAGATGGATTTTAGGATCCTTAATTTTTTTTTTACATATTTTATTTTAATAAATATCATTAGTTATTATCTTCATTATATATTTATAACTTTTATTACACGACTATTAAACGCTCAGCAAGTGTTTATTTCTAGTGTTTTAAAATAAGAATATACTTATTATAATTCTAAAATGTTTTTCTCATTTAACACAATTTTTTCGTATTCTTCAAAAAAAGCAATTTTTTATAGAATTTTTTCCATTTAAACATTAATGATAGCATTGATACATTAATTTAATTTATTTTCTTCTTTAACAATTTCATTTTCAGCTTTTTTTATTGAATCTTCTTTGAAATGAACAATTAAATTGTGATCAAGATCATTCTTTAATAAATATATAATATTTACTAAACTATTTTATAGATTGGTTTATTATTAAAGTAAATCTTAGTGAAGAGTTCCATTACACAATTTATCACCATTTTGTTATTTTGATTCTTCATTTTAATTTAATCGTTTTTAGAAAATAGATATATGATAAGCATATAGATTTGAAGAATCAGAGAAAATTTAAGGCTAATTTTTTAATATTATAAATAATACTTCTTCACTAGCTATTCTACTTGCTAAATCATAAATAGTCCATTTTTATAATTGTTCTTTTCCATCTAAAGAACGAATAATAGAAGATTGCTTTTTAAGTGGATACATTAAAAAATTAATTAAAATCTAAACAACATCTAATTTGACTTTTCTATTTTCATTTACATATTCTGTAATTTTATCCCAACCAATGTCTGTATTTTCTTAGATGTAATTTAACATATCTGATAATTCTTGATCATTTAATTAAGAGTCTGATTGTTCTGTCTAATCAATTTAAATATTAATATTTTTCAATTTTTCTTCAATATCAGTTTTAAAAAAGTCTTCTGCACAAAGTATATTTGGAAAATGATTATTTCCATAACATTTTATACATAGAATAATTTCTTTAATATCTTTAATAGGTTTTTGTTGGTACCAAACTAAATTGCATTTCATTTAACATGAGTCACAAATAGGCCTAATATTATTTTATCTTGTAACCTTAATTTAAGCGATAATGCACTTATAGAATCAATAATTTATTATTCACTTAATTAATATTGTTCTGAACTATTTTTAGATTAAAATAATTCATTAAATAAATTATCTGGAATAGCAGGTTATGGTATAATTTTGCCTTAGTATTAATCTGAATCCACTTAAGAATTTATAATTCCCCAATGATTTAAGAATCCATGAATTCTAACAATTGTACATGCATCAGCAGCTAATTGTCTTCTACATGCAGTAGTTGTCAAATAAATATTTGGCGTATTATAATATAAATTGATAATAAAGTTTCTGTGTTTCTTATAAAGTTAAGGTGTTTTGTGTTTATTCTCTTCATTAAAATATTCTTTAAAATTCTCCTTTTCAATTGAATGAATTTTATCAATTCTAAACCAAGATGTACATGAAGGTACAGTAATATCATAAGATCTTTTTTTAGTAACAAAAGGATCTGGAGGATAAATTTCATAATTCTAAGGTATGATTGGTTAATTAATTAAATTTTATTGTATAATGGGCTTATAAGGAGGTTGAGGAGATGTATAAATAATTGGTTATTTAGATTATTAAACTTGAATACTTTATTGCATTCCTGGATTTAATTATGGATATAAAAATGATTATTATGGAGAAAGTATTGCAGGACTTATTTGTAATTATTATTAGGGTATTTATGGTTAAGAAGGTAATGATGTTGTTTGAGACTTATTTTTAATCTATATTGTTTATTAAGGAGGAGTTTATTGAACAATACTTTTAGGTATTCGAACAGTAGTATCAGCATCATGAACAATAAATCCATTTGCAACTTTCTTGAGAGTGACTTTAACTTATGGCATTTTCTTTTAATTCATATTAATATATTTTATATATAATTTATATATATGAAAATTTTTATTTTAAATAATTTTGTATAAAATGAATACTAAGTCATTTGAAGTTTTGATACATTCATAATATGCTTTCCATAGATGCAGAAATGAAGTGCATAAGTATGAAGATTGTAGATAAACAACATCCCCAATTCCAAAAGATCCACGTCTATGTAGAAATACAGCTAGAGAATTGATAGGATGTTATAAAGAGGCGTATTTAGAATGATGTTTTATGATCATTAGTGAACGTATGCATCCATTATGTTTGGCTCCTTTCAATGATGTAAGAGAATGTGTTTTCAAAGCTGATGGAAATATCTTTAATTGCAAGAAAGAATCATAATAATTCGTTGATTGTCAGATGGATTAAGAAAAATATCAAGATTTCTTAGCTGTAATAAATTATAATAAAAATAGCTTTCAACAGATAAATAAAAAGAAGCTTTATAATTTGATTTCTTCAACTATAGAGGCCATTTTGACAAGTATAGTTGAGGTAGTAGTGATTTATAAATATAAAAGACATAATAATATTAATAATATCAATATTTTATTAAATGACTACCTAATCCAAAATAAACTAACAACAGAATAGAATAGAAACTCAATTTCAAATAAATAATAATCCTTGTTATGAAGATAATATTTATAATTATACCTATATTAAATTAGTTCAAAAACTTAGAGATCAATATAAGTACAATTTATTAAGAATTTATATATAGTAAATATGAGAATCATTTTTATCAATCTAATGTCAACTAATTTCATAATTATAATAATAAGAGATAAAATAATTCACAGTATGAAATAAAAATTAGTGATTAATATATAAATAATCAAGCTCATATTTCTATTGATATCCAAGTCTAATAAATAAAAATACGTAGTAATCACATATTTAAATGGGTGTTAATCTATCCTTGAAATATAAAAATATATAAAATAATGACAGTGTATAAACAATCACTAATATTGAATAAAATGAAAGAATCTAAAACAATAAATAAATTTTTGGTATTTAATAATCATAATTAATTTAATAAAATAAATACCATTATTAGTATAGTTTTGATTCTATCTAATGGAACAAACTTCATAACCCTAACTAATTACATTAACATTTGTAATTGTTAAATTAATTATCTATAGTAAAATTTAAAATAAATATCTGAGTAATTAAAGCTAAAGCAATTATTTTAGAATGATTAATAACAATAAAGTTGAGATTAAATAATATGTGTGCATATAAATATTATTAATATATTAATTTAATCAATAAATATATATATTCTGGTTTTACATAAAATAATTCACAAATCAGATTTGCTTTTGTTTTATTCTGTATGTGTTTGTGTAAGTTATACATTTTGTTTTATAAAGGCATACAGATTATCTTTGCTGAATTCTTATTCAAAATTAATTGGATTAGATGTCACTTTTGGAA